ACCAACTTTGCAACCTGCCTCGGTGTTAACAAAAACTCCCCTGACCCTAGTATGAACTCGGTTACCAACAATTTCAAAACATACATGTTCCGAGATCAAAACCAACCTTCACCGACACTAGTATGAACTCGGCTACCATCAATTCCTAAACATGCATGTGCCAACTTTGCAACCTGCCTCAGTGTTAGCAAAACTCCCCGACCCTAGTATGGACTCTACACCTACCGATTCCAAAACATGCATGTTCCGAGTTCAAAACCAACCTCGGTGAAAACTTCACCGACCTTAGTTTAACTCTCCCTAACAATTCCAAAACATGCATGGTCTAGATTCGAACCCTGCCTCGGTGAAAACGTCACCGACTCGTGTATAAAATCTGTCCCAACCAACTCCAAACCTTCCCTGGGCACCCGAATAAAAATAACTCACCCAGCCCCTTAATCAATAAAAATTATTGATTTGTACTTTAGAGTGATTAGGTTGAATGATATGTATGCTAACGTCATATCATATTTAGTTTTTTACGTCCTTATTTTGGTGAACTTTAAATGTAGGCATTTTAAACGGTGTGTCATTTGACACGACGTACTATAACGTTGTTGATTTTTAAAACTTGAAGTTTATAATCTTAAGCAAATTTTTACTAAGGTGATCAAAAATTAAGATGACAATGTAAGATATAGAAAAACAAAATACATTGAGTGGTAAAAATAAAATAAAAATGTCTTTAGACGTAATGTTATATGTATAAGTAAACTTTCTTAAAAATTAAAGAAGTTCAAGTCAAAAAGAAGTTTGATGAAAACTGTAATACTAAAGCGAACATGGGGAGGTAATCTGCTGCAAGACTAAGATATATATTCGTCTTCCTTCTAGGTTCATTGCCTTTTTTGGTTGAGGTTAAACATCGCCATGTTTTCAAATATCGCGATGTACGTCACGTTCTCTCCCCTCTTACCTAGTAATCGCTTCCTCTACCCATTGTTTACAACACGCTTACAAAGAAAAAATATCCCACCCTCTACTTGAGACATAAAATACAAAAGTGTATTGTGCCTTGTCGTCACAGGAAACAAAAACGGTAGCGTCTAATGTTGTTAACCCTTGTCTTCCTAAATTATTTTTTAACTTGTTAAAGAAATTGACTGTTTAGTTAAGGAATCTGACGCGAATTTTTTTTTTTCACAAGGGACGATACTCGTGTGTGTAGACAAGTCTGTTCTAATTTTAGAACAGTTGTCTTTCCTCTCGTTTCTCTATTAGGGAAGCCGTAAGGGGAAGACACGCGACACGTCTTTTAAAATGTATAAGGGGAAGACACGCGACACGTCTTTTAAAATGTAAACAACCGTGCACGGGGTACACTTAAAATAAACCCCGCTGCGAAAATGACAATGGCATGGTGACACTTTTTGGAAAACACGCTTTCATGTAAATAAAATAAGAGTCGCTTTTGTTGTCGCCATGATAATGTATACCTATAAGTTCTCTCCGCCATTACCGACCTGGTATGAATTTCGCGCGCGCGCGCATGTGTGTGTGTGTGTGTGTGTGTGTGTGTGTGTGTGTGTGGTGGTGGTGGTGGTGGTGGTGTGTGTGTGTGTGTGTGTGTGTGTGTATGTATATCTCAAAAAAAAAAAAAAAAAAAAAAAAAAAGCGTATCATGTCAACACCTGGGCAACAAGTCATAGTCAAAAAAGGCCTAATTCATTACAGATCTATAGGAAATCCCTCTTTACATGTACTTACGTTAGGGGGAGTAAACTCATTTGAATAAAAAAAAAAAAAAAAAAACGTATTTAAATATATAGAGTTATAGAACCTTAACCCCGCATACCTACGTACCAACGCATCAAGTCGCCCTGTCGCCCATTAAAAAACACGAACCTACCGAGACTTCGTTTCGTCTCAAAACCTGACTTAACGGTGGTTGAAAGAAAATTCCGACCCTTAAATATATTTTTGTTTTCGCTGACCCTCGCTATAAGCGCATAGTTACAACCATTAATCTTTCATACATAGCAAGGGACGGTTCGCAGGACATGTGGAAACAAAATTTTTTAATTTGATCAAAGAATGACCGGGCGTACGATATGTGAACATAGTTCATGTACAGCTGTAGTCTAATGAAAAAAGCCGAGAGCCGTGACTAATTACAGCACCAGCTGTCGCCACACTTAACGCGGAGAGGGACTTAATGGTTTCGATTAATTACCTGTTGTGATCGCTTCAGTGAGTCCGCTATTAAGCAACCACGGGGAGCGCCGGTGAGGCTCATGGGCGGATCGATAAGTACAAGCTGTCGCTAATAAGTAACAGCTGTGGTTAAATGGATGTTATACACAATGACACTTTCTAGTACACGCTAGTGTTAGTCTTTTATTTCAAACGGCGTACAACAAAGAAATTAAAAGCAAACTAATTAAAAGGAATTTCAAACAAATAAATTATACAAAGTAATTAAATTAAACAACAAGTAAACAACAATTAAAAAATAAAATTTAAAAATAATAATTTAAAAATTTTTTTAAAAATTTAAAAAAATTAAAATCAAATGACCTATGTACTTCGCGGAGCTAACAAAGCGATCGGTAAAATCGATTAACGTGGTAACAGATGTTCCCACACTTAACGCTGGCTTCGCGTTAATTACCATACCTCCCGGTGGGATCGCTTCGCGAACCCACATAAATCAATGACGGGTGTCAAAAAATTTAATTAGGTGGGCTATCAAGTTGATGATGGTCGAGTGGGTGTGACCAAAATTAACTCGGACAGTGTACGGTCCCTCACAAAAAGAAAAACTTTGCTGGTGAATCGATACGTGCCGGGTGCCGTTAGCGAGTAACAGGTGTTGTTAATGTATGTTATTCACAAAGTACACGCTAACGCACCCCTACCCTCAAACCCCATCATTACTCCCCCTCTCATCCACCAACACCCCTATCCGTTTACTATTAAACATACATACAAGTAAATAAACAAACCAACAAATTAAACAACAAAGAAAAGAAATAAACAAATTAAATTTTAAAATCAAACTAATTAAAAGCAAAATACGTAACTAGTTAATAAAAATTAATAAAAATAATAAATTAAAATTACAAAATTAAAATTTAAAAAATTAAACTAATTAAAAAATCAAATTTAAATAAAAATCAAATTAATTAAACTTATTAAAAATAAACAAACAAAACACAAACAAAGTAATTAACATCAAATTAATTCAAAACAAACAAAAAACCAAATTACGTAACTCGTTAATAAAAATTACAAAACAAAATAAATAAACAACTATAAAATTTAAAAAACAAAATAAAAATAATTAAAAAGTAAACAAAGTAATTAAATTACGTAACTAATTAAAAAAAAATTAATTAAAATTTAAAAAACTCATTAAAACTAATTAAAAACGCATTAAAATTACGTAACTAGGTCAATGATTACGTCATAATGTTACTAATTACGTCACAAGGTCACCAAAAGGTGACCTACTGACCTACTCCCGCTCCTGCTCACCCACCCTAGGGTGGGTGAGTATTTTACTATATGTCGTTGTACCAGGCTGCGCATCCTGCTCACCCACCCTCACCCAGGTGGGTGAGTATTTTACTATATCCCATTGTACCAGGCTGCGCCACCTGCTCACCCAACTTCACCCAGATGGGTGAGTATTTTACTATATGTCGGTGTACCTCCTGCTCCCCCAGGGAGTATTTTACTATATGTCGTTGTACCAGGCTGCGGCAGGCTGCGCCTGGTGGGTGAGTATTTTGCTATATGTCATTGTACCAGGCTGGGGGAGTATTTTCCTATATATCCTTTGCTCCTGCTCCTGCTCCACCTCCTGCTCACCCATGGCTCCTTCACCCAGCGCCTGCGCCTGCGGTCCAAAAGTGACCTAATATACTACTACTGTCATGGGTATAGGCTTTTTAAAAGCCTCTGCCAGCATGCCGTACCATCTTTTCAAAACCTCTTATAATGGGTTTCTTTGCTTCATTGATACGTTGCTTTTTATACACATATGTCTTTTGGGTAACAATCTTCGAAAACTCTGGGTGTTTAGAATCGAGCCATCTATATGGTTGGTACTGATGGTGGTGATCACTGCAGTGAGAGGTTTAAGTAAAACGCAAACACAATTTCAGCTTGGGAAATTTAATGGTCACGACTTTAGTCTTCAATAAAACAGGGAATAGTCTTGAACATTAATACTGGCCAGCCTTAGGGGCCAGCCCTACCACACTTTACAAAACACAACACGACTACATCCTAGCAAAGCTAAAGTTCAACTATTCTAATTTTTTCTAAGGGCCCAAGCTTAACCCTCGAGTTTTTTTAACCCCTGCCTGACCCCGGCATTCCAGCAAGGGGAAAGGACGGGTGCCCTAGCCTGCACATTGGCGAGGTGGGACGGGGATGCATTGTGTCCCAGTTCAGGTGTGGGACGGGAGGGGGGTTGGATTCAGTTATAACACCTCCCCTCTCCTTTGACAAGATGGGTGGGGGAACAGCTCAATACAACTTACCAGGTGTACCAAACATTTTAGGTACCATAACAGATTAAATGTTAACAAACCCGTCATACACACGTACTAGTATTTGTGGTCAACTATAAACAATGACTGACAATGGCATTGAACTCCGGGATGCCCTGCCTATTCCAAACCCAAACAACGTCTATCCTATAAGATTCTAGATTTTACATTGTTTATTAATAATCAAAGCGGTTGCACAATGAATGTAACAGAACATTTTAATAGTTTGGTGCTACATTGCGTGAAGCGTAAATATCATAGGTTGTTAGTATTATAATTCGGGTTTTAAGTAAGGTAATGTATAGATCAATTTAAAAAAAATACAACGCCAAGCTAGGCAGAATACTATGTTGAGTATATACTAAATACAATAGTGATATATAAATAATAAAAATAGAAATGAAACGTTTTCAATCACCTTAACATATTTAGCAGGGTTTTTTTCACTTTACTGAACAGCACAACCAACACAGTTCAGACATGAAGTTAGGCTATTCAAAATGTGTGATTGCAGTGTTATTGCTTTTCTGTCCATTATATACACAAGGTGAGTGTATTAAGAATTATATTTAAATATTATTGAAATGAAATTAACATTCTAGTAAAATTTGACAACTTAAAATGCTTTAATATTTTTAAAAGAGGGGTTATGTGGTGGGGGGGGGGGGTTATGATGCGATAGTTTATGTGGAGATTTTAAGCACATTTGCTTTATCGCTAAATGAGGTAGGGCTTACATCAAAGTGGTGATTGTCCTGACAATCAGTCGCGTTCAGTTTTTCTATTAATTGATATAGCTATTCAATTTGAAATTTCATCATAAATACCCTGAAATAAACGTTTCGATTATTTAGAGTTAACGGTACACAATCATACTAATGTATGCTACATAATTGTTTTACCTGCACACGTTACTTTCTGTCTTTTTTGTCTTTAGAAGTAAAAAATATGTTTAAAAAAAATGTAACATAAATGTTTATCTGCATCACTTTCAGAGTTTCTTCCAGGCATCTCTTCGGGGGGCGAAGCCCCCCCCCCCCCTCCCCGAAATTTTTTTACCGCCCCCCCCCCCGAACGAAATGAAATTTATATAATTTATATAGAAAATATATACTTTTTAAGTGTCCGCCCCCCCCCCCCCCCCGAAGAAAGTCTACCGCCCCCCCCCCCGAAAATTTCAAGTGCCCCCCCGGAGAAAAAAGTCTGGAAGAAACACTGATCACTTTTTTTTTCTGGAATCGGGTTTTACACGTACATAAATGTGTTGAGGCAAGCAAACCTATTGCAGTAGCGGCAGAGCATATTTTCATTAGACATTACAACAATTTTATTTTCCTAATTTCAGCCAACTGTAAATGTGAACAAATTACAAGTTATGTAAATGGACGTCGAGTATGTTCTTGTAAACCTGGCTATGTAGTCAACAGCAACCATCATGAGAAGTGTCAAGGTAAGAATTTTTTGTATGTTTGCAATGATTTTATCAATGATTTTATATATATATATATATATATATATATATATATATATTCCATATATATATATTCCATATATATAATAATTCCACATACACTTGTAAGTATGTGTATACGCATGTGTAGATGTATTCAAATATTTGTTTTCTATTGGATGTATTTATATTTTGTATCCCCCAATACATGGATTAGCATATAGCTTATTACGATTCTCAACCAAACCTTTTTCCTCAGGCATTTATATTGGAACGTTGAGTTGATGTAACTCCCCCCCCCACCCTCGTCACCCCCCCCCCCCCGGTGATTGCTTTAAACTGTGCCCAGATAATGCTTGCTATTTGTACCTATATTCGGTTATAATTTCAGCTGGATGTTGCATGTTTTTTTTTATCATTAGCAGGTTTACGTCATGATTTCACCCCCCTCCACCCGTGTCATATTTGTTCACTTTGCTCTTAAAAGACTATTTAATTCACTCTATTTAATCATTTAATTAAGTAAAATTATCATTTTTCTGAATATATTTTGCTATTTTTTGCTTTGGTGTCACCCCCCCCCCCCCCTAAATGGTGTCACCCGGTGCTGTACGCACCCCCCCACCCCCACCCGCTATTCCTCTGATGTGTGTGTTAGCAATTTTAATATTTAAATACATTTCGAGCAATTAGTGTCTTTCTAAGTAAGATTAGGTTTAAAGTTTTAAATATGATTTATAAATATTTCAAACAATTCGTTTTAACTGTCGTGTTGTATTGTAGGCTACAATATAAATATACCGACTTTTTTATTTTACTCATTTTAAAATATTGCTACAAAATAAATTTCAGACATAGATGAGTGCCAAGATTCCAACGAAACGATTTGTGCGCAAATATGTACCAACACTATTGGAAGCTATTTGTGTTCCTGCAATCCAGGTTATAAAATAAGTATCAGTGACCCAGCAAAGTGTGAAGGTAATTTATATATTGGTATACATAGGGGTCATCCATAAATGACGTCACGCTTTTTTTGACGATTTTTACCTCCCCCCCTCCCCTCCGTCACACGTCGTCACAAAAAGTCAGACCCCCCCCCTTAAAATGACGTCACACCTCAACCTACAACCCCCCTCAAAATTGCAGTTGAATTTTTTTAAAACATCGATATTTTTCCAAAATCTTGTCTAAACTATTACAATTTATTAAAACAGTTATCTAAAACGCGAAATAACGTCTAAAATTCGTTTTCTAACATTGCTTTTTTATAATGCAAAAATGTGACGTCGCAACATCTGAACCACCCCCCCCCTCCCCCTCATCACACATCGTCACAAAATTACGGACCCCCCTCCCCCCTACGAGTGTGACGTCATTTATGGATGACCCCATATACTATCCTATAAACTATTTTCCAAACTTGTATTTGGCTTGATTGCTCAGTTTAATGTCGTATGGTTGAGAAATGTAGAGCAACATTTTAGTCATTTCAAACAAACAATTTTTTTTAAAACTTAGATCTTAGTCGAAAACTCAATGGCAAAGCAATGTGACATGAAAAATTGACTTATTTAAACGCTTAATTTATTGTTAAAAAATAATATGTAAATGTACGCCAAGTATGTTCTTGTAAATCTTGCTGTGCAGTCAGCAGCAACAATTTTTAGAAGTGTCAAGGTATGATTGTTTGTATATTTGCAATAATTCTATCGAAATATGTCAAATACATAATGAGACTTTCCATACTCATACGAGAACGTACTTTAGAAATAACACACTCCACAAACATGATGAGTATCATGAAGACCCATTGGAGAAACATTTTACAATGTCATGTGCTGCATAAGCTAATAAAAAACGATGCTGTATTGAATACAAAATAACGTGTGTGATTGCAATTTCAAAATTTAAAAAGATGTCAAGCAAAAATATTGTTTATGTAAGTAAGATTAAGTATACCGTTTTAAATATGATTATTAATTTTACACAAATTTCGTTTTGAATTGCCGAGTTATAATGTAGGCTACAACATAAATATACCCACTTTTTGTTTTACACATTTTAAAATATTGCCGCAAAAATAACATTTCAGACATAGATGAGTGCCAAGATTCCAACGAAACGATTTGTGAGCAGATATGTACCGACACTATTGGAAGCTATTTGTGTTCCTGCAATCCAGGTTATACCATAAGTAGCATAGACCGAGCAAAGTGTGAAGGTAATTTATTTATTGGTATACATATACTATCCTACATGTGCAAAGTATAAACTATTTTACAAGCTTGTACTTGGTTTGCCTCCTCAGTTTAATGTCGTATGGGTGAGAAATATAGAGCGACATTTTATTCATTTCAAACAAACAGATTTTTTTAAAACTTGGCACTTAGTTGAAAACTAAATGGCAAAGCAATGTGACATGAAATTTGACTTATATAAACGCTTAATTTATTGTTAAATAATGATATGTAAATGTACGCTGAGTAGTCCTATGTTCTTGTAAATCTTGCTGTGTAGTCAGCAGCAACAATTTTTAGAAGTGTTAGGTATGATTGTTTGTATATTTGCAATAATTTTATCGAGATAAGTCAAGTACATACGAAGACTTTCCATACTCAAACGAGAACGTTCTTTAGAAATATCACAGTCCACAAACATGATGAGTATCATGAAGACCCATTGGAGAAACATTTTACAATGTCATGTGCTGCATAAGCTAATAAAAAACGATGCTGTAGTGAATACAAAATAACGTGTGTGATTGCAATTTCAAAATTTAAAAAGATGTCAAGCAAAAATGGTGTTTATATAAGTAAGATTAAGAATATAGTTTTAAATATGATTTATTAATTTTTCACAAATTTCGTTTTGTATTGCCGATTTATAAGGTAGGCTATAACATAAAAATACCCCCTTTTTGTTTTACAAATTTTAAAAGATTGCTAGAAAAATAACATTTCAGACATAGATGAGTGCCTAGATTCCAACGAAACGATTTGTGAGCAGATATGTACCAACACAAATGGAAGCTATTTGTGTTCCTGCAATCCAGGTTATACCATGAGTAGCATAGACCAAACACAGTGTGAAGGTAATGTATATATTGGTACACAAATACTATGATACATTTATAAAAATGTAAATAATTTTACAAGCTTGTAGGCCCACTTAACTTGCTTCCTCTGTATTTTGTCATATTGGTAGAAAATGGAGAGCGACATTATACTTAAGTCACTTCTAACTAACCAACTTCTTTTTACGTGGGCCAATACCCAATGGGAAAAAAATGCGACACCAAATTTGACTTATTAACTCGCCAAATAATACATGAAACCTTGCTGTGTAAAGTACTCATTGCCGTACTGTAAAAACGCTTATTTGTTAATTTGACAATACGTTGTTATTGTGAGGTCTTTCTTCAATAGAGACGATAAACAGTTCTTTTATTTTCCAACTTTATTTACAGTAATAAAATATAAAGTTTAAAAACATAAACGCATGTATATTATATTATGTAAAAATAGTTTGATAACCAAATATAAATGTCTGTGTTGTATATGTCTTAATTCACAAGGCAACAGGGATTATCAACCACATTTTAAAAAAAAATTTCATATAGGGCCAATATTAGTGTTATTTAAATTCGAACATTTAATTTTAAGGGTCTCCATAAACTAAGCCAAAACTATGTTAATGAATTCAACAACAAATGTTTTATATAAACACCAAACCATTTAGTTCTTATAGTACAAATATTTTAAATATAGTTGAGCTATAGGCCCACATTGTAAATTGTTTGGTATTTTACCTGTCATTTTGTTTGACAAAAATTATTTCTGAAAAGTATTTTTTCTCGCTCCAACGTATATGTGCAAGGAACCCATTTAAAGAAAATTAAATTAAAAAAACGCCATTTATTTTATTAAATCATTTTTATGTTAAACGATTTAATTATGTCAACGAAATATGTATTGCTATTAAGCAATACTTTCGCATTTTCAGTAATAAGAAATACCTTAATCAACCAAATGAAATAGAATAAGCATTGGCATGCAACTTAATTACTTACAATTAATGTTTTTTAAGTAAAATTCTTGTGTAAATAATAATTAACCAAATGTGTACACAAATAAACATAGACAATATTTATAAGTTTTGAAAAATAACAAAAATCGACAATTCACGATTAAAATATGAAAATATATTTAACGTTTTCCCATACATATTTTTCAGACATTGATGAATGCAGCGGTACTTCGAGTCCATGCGAGCAAGTATGTACAAACACAATAGGTGGCTACACCTGCTCTTGTGAACAAATTGGATATATCATTGATACAACAGATATCACACAATGTAAACGTAAGTCAATGTAATTTCAACCAAATACATGTTTTCACTTTAATGTAAAGGATATTATGTCATATATTTTATTTTTAACTTGTACAATAATACTTTTGTCTTGCAGTTGATGACCGGTTCTGTAACATAGTTGCAGGCAGTAACACACTCTCGGGTACAATAACTAGCCCCGGCTACCCGCAGAATTACCCATTTGATTACAATTGTCATGTTAGCTTACCACCCAAACAACTCATGAAGATCACCATCAGGTAATTATTTATAGTTTTAACATTTTAGGTGAAATAATTCATAATTTTAATGGACAGGTTTATGGCAGTAACTCGTTTTGTTACAATCATTTTAGTTATAAATTCTCAGTTGTTGGGCTTTAAGCTGGTTACGTGTTATAAAACACTGATGTAATTACCGTTTTAAAATATTAGTATCGTTTTGTAAAAAGTTTTAATACGCCTAGTAAAACATAAAAAGCCATAGGCCCTATATATACTGTAATAGTCGGACGGTTTAAAAGTAACGAAATAAGTTTGAAGATGTATATTTAAAATGTTTAGCTGATTTCCCGAATAAATGGTAAAAGATTTTGAATTCATTGTTTATTTAGCATAAAATATAATATTTTATGCATGATAAAAATGCTACGAAAAGGTTAATTTTTTCCAAATGGCTGCCGTTGTCATAGTTACCAAAAATATTTTACCAATTTGTTTTTGGAAATACATATTTGGATGTACCTTAAATAAGCTCTTATATTTAAAAATATATTTTTCCAGATCCTACACTCTTAAGAAACCGTGTTGTATTGTTCTTTCAGAGGTGTAA